ATTGATATCACATTGCTTACCTTCTCAATGGGGTGAGAGAGAAGGAGAGAGTGTGAAAGAGAGGGGCTGGAGGGAGGGAGAGAATTTGGATCTCAAATTTAAAAAAGAAAAAAGAATGTTAAGTGGTATCAGGGCAGTTGAATCACAGCCCTTTCCCACCTTCCCATCTTTCGCACTGATTCTTGCCTACATCTTCCTACAACAGGAGACCCAGGCCCATTTACCTCTCTGCACATTCTTCTTCAGTACCCAGCATACCCCAGACACTCAGTGCTCATTGACAATCTTATGAATTCCAGGAACTGCTTTGTTCTGCTCTTTTGCTCTTCCTTCCAGCACACACAGAAGTCTCTGCTATCTTCATTCCTCCCCCTCAGACTAAGGAGTGTTGCAGACTGGGATGTCCTCAGGTGCCAGCCCACCCCTCCCGGGTAGAGAAGGTTCCAGAGAGCTGACCCAATAGAAGACAAGAGGAGGGGTTGACCCAGACACATTCAAACATGATAAGAAGGATGCTAATTGCTCCAGGCAGGAAGGAGGAAAATGACCCACTTCCTCAGACTCCCCACACTGCTCAGAGCCCAATTTAATACCCAAAAGGCCATGGGCTCTTGGAATAATTTGTAATTCTTTCATGTGGTCAGATTGCTATCTTGCACAGCACTGAGAAAATTGTACCCAGGATTAGAACAGAGCTGAGCATTGCTCAGGGAGGAAGAAGTCTGGGTTGTTCTGGGCTAAGCCTGGCCTCCTGGGTGGCAATCAGAAAAACACAGCTGGAGTTCAGTACTCAGCAAAATCTTGAGTAGGGATCTGGGGAGGGGCAGGGAAATCAGACTCACCCAAGGGCCCTTTTCTGTTGAAAGCAGTGGCTTTCAAAATCTGTTCCTCTCCTACACAAGGGTGGCCCTTCTCCCTGGGGAAACTAAGGCAACAGATCTCAGAAGACCTAAGTCCTAGCCCAAACTCACTGTGTGACCTTGGGCCTGTCTCTTTCCTACTTTCCTGGTTTTAGCTTCCTTTTCTGTAAAAAGAGAAAGGCAGAATAACATCTCTAATAGCCTTTCTAGGGCAGCTAGGTGGTGTGGTGGATAGAGTACCAGGCCTGGAGTCAGGAAGATGCATCTTCCAGGGTTCAAATTCAGCCTCAGACACTTCCTAGCTGTGTGACCCTGGGCAAGTCACTTCACCCAGTTTGCTTCAGTTTCCTCATCTATAAAATGAGCTGCAGAAGGAAATAGCAAACCGCTCCAGTATCTCTGCCAAGAAATCCCCAAATGCGGTCATGAAGAGTCAGACACGACTGAAAATGATTTAATTTTAATAATCCTTCTACCTCTGATTTTAATTTCTTAGGGAGAAGGCAGGAAGGAACCTGCCCTCTTGATACAGGGTGGATAGAGAGAATTGATTGTCAGAGAACCTAGACATTAATTCTGATGCCCTGGCCCCCTGGGGAAGAGGCTTGGCTAGCTCTTTGGTGTCCCCACCCCCAAGAGACCACAAGCTGGAAGCCTCTTTGAGGCCCTTCCCCTCCTATTGTCTCCCCACAGTGGCTTGTTCCTTCTGTCCTTAAGAGGAACTGAGCAGAGGCAGCTCCTTCCCCAGCAGGGTCCCTGCCATTAGCCAAATGGATTGGATCGTGTCTATCCTCCCCAAGACCTTCTCACTCCATCCATCCTCCACTGTCCCACACGAGGAGAGGCACCAGCAGCAGGCGGCCTGCCCCCAAGAAATGGCTGGGCCACCATTCCAGCAGAGTTCAGAAGCCTCACGATGCCCCTTACCTCTGTTCCACTATCATAGCCACCATCTTATCATGTGTTATCCTTTGCTTTTCCATCCTTCCTGAGTCTGAGTCTTCTAGCTCTTAGCAGCGAAAGGTGGAGGGCCAGGACTTGGTCCCCATTTTACTTACAAGAGAAAGGTTTTCCTAGCTACAGACCAATTACATACCATGACCAAGCCCCCTGACCCTGATCTCAGTGTGAACCCTGACCAGCACCAGATTATTGGTCACAACTAGGTAGTGAAGTGGATAGGTCTAGATTCAGGAAAACCTAAGTTCAAACCCAGCCTCAGACACTAACCAGCTGTGTGACTCTGGGCAAATCACTCAACCCTTGTCTGCCTCAGTTTCCTCATCTGTAAATTGGGATTAGTAATAGCATCCACCTCTGAGAATGGTGAGGCTCACAATTTGAGATATTTGTAAAGAGTGTGCACAGTGCCTGGCACATAGTAGGTGCTTAATAAATGCCTGCTTCTTTCCTTCCTTCCTATAGTGAGGAACAGGGCAGAGAATGTGAAGCCCTTAGCACAGCCCATCCCCACTCTTGAAAAACCAGCTCAGAGCCCACATCCAATGGCATCACATCACCCCTGTCCTCCAAGGACAGAGCACCCATTCATCCTCCATGAGCAGCAGAGGCACTGAGCATGCCACTGTGGGCAGCAAGGAAGGCAGTTCATAAAAACTCGGGGAGGGTGATGACAGGGCCTCCCCCAGTGGGAGTGGGACCTCATATTCACTGCAGGTCAACAGAGATGGCAATGGGGAAAGTGCTTTGTAAGCATTTTCCAGCTGTTTACTGTGACTGTGTTCAGTGAAATCATGGGATCCTTGCGGGCTGGGCTGTCTCCCCCCTTCAGAATGAAGGCTCCCTAGAGTAGAGCCATGTTTCTTTCCTCGCCCCTCCTCAGACCAGAGGTTCTGAGTCCCTGGAGGTCACAGGCCAGGTTTTTGTTTTGGCCTTTCTCTGTATTCCCAGCACTTAGTACATATAGTAGGCACTTAATAAATGCTTGTTTTACTTGACTTGTGGATTAGTATTACCATCGGCTCTTGGTGGCAAGGTCAGCACTACTCAGGGGCAGTTTCCCCACAACAATCCCCTTCCTCCACCTCCATGGTCAGTGCTTATGGGTCCAACTATGAGAGGCCCTGAGGGTAAAGTAGGCAGCCATGGGGTGTGGCAGGAGCAGAGAGGGGGGCATATAAAAATGAATGTAAGACCATGACCACTGGACCCTCCACACCAAATCCTACAGGGAAAGCCAGGCCACACACTGCCTGTGTAGCCCGAAGAAATCCTAGTCCCTTTCTCCCCCAGTGGGGACCCAAAAAGAAGAGATCCACATGAGACCCTGAGAATGGATCCTTCCTAAGCTCTGAACCTTCCCTACCCCCTGGAGAACTGCTTGCTCAGGGGAGCAGGTGTAGACTCAGAATAGCTTATTAAACAAGTTTTCTCTCTGGGCTATGACTATTGGCTCAGTGACATTTCATTGCTTTGGGGATTGCATGCCCCACAAAGGGATCTCTAAGCATGCACTGGATTATCTCAACAGCTCCCCTAAGTCTGTAAGCAGCATTCCCCACATGCTAAACAGCCCTCCTGAGGCCAGTTACATAGTGCATCCACAGCCTGCCTAGATAAGAATCCATAATTTAGAGAGAAAAGATTTCCAGAATTTCTCTCTCTAGGACTCATATCTGGTACCTGAGAAAGCCAGGAGGCAGGAGGAGCCAGTGTGTTTTTAATCACTTTTAAGAATCATGCTCAGACAACAAATCAGTGCAGTTCTCAAAAGAACAAATTCAAAACTATTAATAACCACATGGAAGACTACCCCAAATCAATCATAAGATAAATCCATTCTAAAAAAGACTCTGAGGTTTCACCTCACTTCTACCAAATCAGTAAAAATTATAAAGGACAACAACGGTCAACATTTGAGGGGTTAAATAGAAAGACAAGCACACTAATACATTGTTGGTAGAGCTGTGAATACCGTCGTCCAACCATTCTGGAAATCAAGTTGTAATTAGGATAAGAAAGTGACAAAAATGACCTTGCCCTTTTGACCCAGAAATGCCACTGCGAGACATATACACCAGGGGGATCCATGATAAGAAGAGAGGTCCCCCCAAACACTAATACAGTCATCACAGCACTCTTTGTAGTAGCAAAGAATTGGAAACAAAGTATATGCTTATCAATTGAGGAATGGCTGAGCAAATGTGGCGTGTGAATATAACGAAATGCACCTATAGCCTAAGTGACAATAAATACAGTGGCTACAGAGAAGCATGAGAAGATTTAAATTAACTGATGCAAAATGAAGGCAGTAGAACCAGGAAAACAAAATGCACAATGATTACAACAATGTAAGGGGGAAGAACGGCAATAAAACAACCAAAATGAAATGCTATGAAATCATAATAATCAAGCTTGGCCCGAAAGATGTAGCAGGAGGCACATTCTCACCCTTCTTTGTACAAGTGGGTGTGAAACACTGCATTTAACCTGGGACTTTTTCAGTTATTGGTTTGTTTTGCTGAACTCCTTTTTTCTCTTTTTTATTCTTTGTTATAAGGGATAAGTTTCTGGAAGGAGGAACATAAGTGGGAAAGGTGATGTAAAAACAAAAAATGTTAATGCAAAATTTAAAAACCAATCAAAAGAATCATGTTCACTCCACCCCCATCTTTGGAGAGACCTCTATCCTGGTCATTTCCTGAATCCTTGTGGGGACTGGGGAGAAGGGTACAGAAGGGTGAGCCACTCAGGTGGATGTTCTACTCTCTGCTTATAGGCAATTTGTTCCTTCAACAAACCATACACTCTCCACTTCAACGTATCCAACCTCAGCTGGTTAAAGAGAGAGAAATCTGGAAGTGGGATGATGTAGGACATACGTATTTCCAACCCTGGCAGCAGCACTGTGATGGTCAGTCTCTCCTATGTAAGAGGAGGAAGTGCTCTTGTCTCAGGCCACCCTATCTCATTCACCTGTTGCTAGTCACAGAAGCTGCCCCATCTCCTCCCTTGGCACAGTCATAACACAGGGGAACTTACCCTGTGCCAAGTGGGGGTGGTACTATCTCTCCCATAAGGGGAGAGGAGACAGGACCCCATAACTACAAAGTCAGAAGTAAGAGATTCAGAAAACTATCCCAGTTCCCAACTTGAATAGAGCCCAGGGACTTCACTCACCCACAGGCAGGACATTGGCTGACAGGAAGCGCCTGATCCTCTCTGAACGGAGTGATAAGGGCTCCAAGGGCTGTGCAACATGGCTAGCTGGCAGGGGAGGGGGTGCCATGACTGACAGTGGTCCAATGAAGTCCAAGCTCTGTGGCCCCCTTTTTTTTTGTAGGTAGGTCAAATATTCCTCCAGAAGCCTCTGTCCTCACTCCCACCTGACATGGAAGTCCCACATCACCTCCAAGATGAGTCCTTCTTAGCCTCTTCAAATAGCTGAGCCAGAACCTGAGTGTGGACCTTATCCCAAGAGTCAGGGCTGATGTGAACACTGCTTCCCTGGGCCATGCAAGGGCAGGAGAGGACCAGTTTCTCAGAGTGAGAGATGCCCTTTAGCAGCCAACAACTGCTGGGTTCCCAGCCTCCGAATCCTCAGCAGAGCCTAGAACCTGGCCCTGTCTCATACCTAGAAAGACCAACAGGGAGAAAATTATAAATTAGCAAGCCATCTCTCTTTTTACAATACCTCACTTAGAGGCAACTAGGTGGCAAAGTGAATAGAGCACTGGTCCTGAAGTCAGGATAGACCTGAGTTCAAAGCTTGCCTCAGACACTAGTCAGGTGACCCTAGACAAGCCACTTACCCTCTATCTGCTTCAGTTTCCTCACCTGGAGATAAGACTAGCCCCCACCTTCCAGGATTGTAATGAAAGCCAAATGAGATAATATTTATAGAGTTTAGCATAGTGCCTGGTACATAGTAAGTGCTTAATAAATGCTTATTGTTTCCTCTTCCTCTCAAAGAAAGTCAGTCCATGAACAACAACAAAAGAACATCACAGTGTTGTGAAAAGTGCCTTAGAACCAGAAGACCTGGGTTCCAATTCTGCCTATGACACTTACTGTCTTGTCACTTCTGCCTCCACAACAGCATCTCTCATCTGCATATTCAGACAGATGCCACCTTAGTACAGGCCCTCATCACCTCCCATCAGGACCACTGTACTGGCCTCTTAATTGATGGATGAAATCGTTTTCAGGCTCTGAGCCATCTTCCACCCAAAGTATCCCAGGTGTGGCCAAGCCCCAGCCTTCCAAGGGTTCTTTCCAGCTCTAAGGAGATGATCACTCTTCACATTTTCTGTGATCCTCCTTCAGAAGACACTCAGAGTCCTCTTCAGAAGGACCTCCCCAACTGCCACTGAAGGAACTTCACTGGATCCTCCTCACCTCCCAGACAAAACATGCTCGCTTGACATTCAAAGCCCCCATTTGGCTCCAGCCTAATGCTCCCAGCTACTTTCACACACCTCCCCTTCACACACTGCAGGTTCTAGGCACACTAGGCCTCCTTGCTGTTCCCAAGCTGGGCACCCCTTCTTTTCAGTCTCCCCTCTGCCGCTTATTTTCCTTATGGTCCTTAGCTTCCTTAAGGCTTAGCTCAGGAGTGACCTCCCATGGGAAGCCATTCCAGATTTCTCCTCTGCCCTCCTCTCTTCAAATGATCTTGTAGTGCCTTTTTTCTATATGTGGTGTGTACACACATATACACATATAAATACATATATACACAGAATACATGTGCACACACATATACACACATACACACATACCTACATATACATGCAAAATAAATGTATGCACACACTGAACACTTACATAGATGCACATGCATGTATGCACACATGTACACTTATGCTACATGTACATACATATGTGTGCACACATATACACTCATGTACACATATACTTCTATACATATATACATATACATGTACGTTCATGTAATGTATCCCCACTGCACGCATATATCTACATACACATACATACACATATGCACACACATACACCCATACAACTATATACATGCATACAATTCACACATGCATAATACGTATATGTATATACACACATACCATCTCCTTCTCTCCCAGTAGAATATAAGCTTCTTGAGGATAGGAATTGTTTTTCAATTTTGGTTCTGTATCCCCGTGGCATAGCAGGGTTCCTGGTACATGGGAGTCTACTAATAAACACTTGTTGGATTGGATTTGATTGGGTCTCCACCTTCCCATGACCTAGCATAGGCTACAACATCTAGAAGGCAGTGGATACATGTGTCAGATTACCGGGTCCTGCCTCATGTCAGTCATGCTTTTTGTACACATGGGTCCTGTCCATTCAGATAGGTCCTACAATTTCAGATCCCAGTTCTCAGCATCTCACCCTACTCAGAGCAGGTGCTCAATTAATGGTCTCTGGCAAGGATGTCATAACTGAAGCTAGCATCTTTTCCTACCCAAGTATTGGTTTTATACCCACAAGCCTCAGTCCTATGCAATTCAATAAATATTTACTGGGTGGCCTTGAAGTCTTCCCTTTCATTCTTTACCACTGCTCCATTAGCTATGCCTTCCTGGGCCCTCTCTAATACAGTCTTCCTCTTCTGCAGCCTGAAACTCCACCAACAGAGGGTTCATTACAGGAAATAGGAATTCCTCAGGGATGGTTTCAGTTTTGATTCTGTATCCCCAGCGCCTGACATGTGGCGGGGACTTATTAAATAGTTACTGGTTGATTTTAAAATGTAGCCAGTGGGTAGATTAAAGAGGAGCTGTCAGTCATTAACAATTCAGGGAGAATTAGTTCGGTTGGATTGGTTTTCCTATGGAGGCTTTTCTGAGATCTGCCTTACCTCCAGAATGGGGAGTTATTCTTAGGGAGGTGAGGATGAAAGTGAAACTTTGGGAAGGGGGTGTGTGTGATAGAAAGGCAGACCCTGGGGAGATGCCAAGGAAAGGATGTAGGTGAACAGAGGGCATCCTGAGGCACTGGGTAGGGAGTGGAGGTAGAGAACGCATTATGGGAGTGCTCCAAAGGGAGATGAGAAAGCATCTGAGGGGGGAACCCCTAAGAGAGAATGAGAACCATGGGGAGCTGGCCAGAGAGGAAAAGAACAGGCAGACTTTGGAAGGGCGCACACACAAAGACACTCTGTCTCTATCCCTGTCTCTGTTCCTGTCTCTGTCTCTCTGTGTCTGTCTGCCTGTGTGTGTGTCTGTCTCTGTCTCTCCTCTCTCTGTGTCTCTCTGTCTTTCTCTGTTTCTCTGTCTCTGTCTGCCTGTGTCTTTCTCTCTCTCTCTCTCTCTCTCTCTCTCTCTCTCTCTCTCTCTCTCTCTCTCTCTCAGTGTGACCACCTATCTCTTATGATTGGCCAAGTGGACTGGCTAGGCTGAGTTGGAAGACTTCATTACAGAGGGCTAAGGTCCAGAGACCCTGGCAGCTCTGGGAGGCCAGGAAGGCCTTCCTTTGGGGGCAAAGAGAGAAGGTAGGTCCAGAAGATACCATAGTCAATTGAGACTACTCCTTCCCCTCTCAAGTCTCCCCTCCTGAACCACATACATGTTCAAATCTGACCCTAGACCACGGGTTGTGAGAGCTGGAGTCCCAACTGCCTCTACCCAGGAGGCAGAGAATTTTCTGTCCTTCCCTTCATAAAATCCATCTGTAGACCTAGAACATTCCAGCCCCTGGAGCTCAGTAGTCTCCCTGTTGCCTAAGGGGGCTCTGATACCCAGAAAGACCAGGACACCCCACCTCCCCCCCAATACACAGCATTGTCAAACCAAGATCAGCCCTGGCAAACCCCATTAAGAGGTCCTGAGAACAAACTCTCCCAGCCCTGGACCCCTTCTCCACTCAGCTTGTCACACTATTACACACACACACACACACACACACACACACACACACACACACACACACACACACCATGCTGGCCTGTCAATCACCATTTCTACTTGGAACACTTAGGCTTTCTTTCTCTCCTTTCCCCTTACGTTCTTTCATCTCCTGTCCTTGTCCCTCTCCTTTCTCTCTCTCCCCATCCCTTTTCCTCTCTCCCTTCACTCGTCTCCTTTCCGCCTCTCTCTCCCACACCATTCTTCTCTCCCTCTTTCTCTCCCCACTCCACTGAGCTGTTCCACCACTCGTTGGCCTGTTCTGCAACTCTCTCCACATTCTCCCTGACCTGCCCTTCCCTACCTCTTTCATTTAGGGGGAGCTGTCTCCTTCCAGGGCTCTTCTCCCACCCTAGTTACTCACCTGCCACCCTATTAGTCACCTGAGAAAGGGATTCCCCACCCTGGGCTCCTGCTTCGGCCCCTCCGGCTGCTCCTCTCTGAACCTCTCCATCCAGGCTTCTCCAGTGTCTAATTAGCAGCAGGAGCCAGAGCAGAGAGTGGAAAACCAGAGTGTTGCCCCAACACGCCCTGTCCTGTTGTGGGGAGAGCTGTGAGCTCAGATCTCTATTAAGAGTGCAAGTTCACTGGGCTTAGAGGACAGGGACCTTGGACAGGCAAATTAACCTGAGTCCCTCTTATTTGTGGAGTAAGAGGGTAAAGTTCACCCTCTTGGTCCAGAGTAGCCTCAGTGAAAGAAGAGGGACTGGGCTTCCACCCTTGAACTCCATCCAGGCTCTGACTTCTTCTTTTTAATAAAATTTTATTTTTTCCAATTACACATAGACAACTTTTAACATTCTTTTTTTCATAAAATTTCCAAATTTCTCCCTCCTTCTCCCCCTTCCTCCGCATGTCAGGAAACAATTTGATATAGGCTATATTGGCACAATCAAATAGAACACACTTCCATATCAGTCTGACTTCTTCTAATAGATTCAGGATGCCCTACCCCACTACTCATACAAGGAACCTAACTCATGCCCACTCCTTTTCTTCCCACAGGAGACACACAGATCTAAACCTGACTCATTTCTCCCAGCCCACTCCCTCGCAACCAAAGGACCCATCCCCAGGGGAAACACAAGCTGGAGTCCTAAGACAATAGTCCTGCGGAGGTTTTAGAAGTCATCCAGTACCTAGGTGTCAAACACAGTGTTTCCTAGAGTCACTGGCACTGATTTAAATGTAACCATGGAATATTTAACAAAATCAAAATACAATAAAACATAGATAATACTATGATGTAGTTTTCTCTAAGTACAAGGATCTGTAAGTATGGTTTAGTGGCTCCCTTTTCTATTTGTGACTTTGACCCTACTGGTCTCCTCTTCATCACAAATCTAGAGCTGTTAAGGGACCTCAGAGGCCAACCCCCTTTTTTTACAGATGAGGAAACTGAGGCCCAGAGTGGTAAAGTGACTTGTCACACACATCCCAGCACATCCACCACTTTAAATCTGCTCCTGGGAAACATACAACTCTTGGATTTGGGAGCTGGAACTAGTGAAATGTCTAGGCAGCTGCAAGTGTGGATTGTTAACAAGATGCTATTTTATTTTCTCTTTCAGGTAGAAAGAGACAAAGTTCATCACAGGATAGAGGCAAGATGCCTCTTTTTAAATTAACAAGCATTTATTTTCTCTCCTTACTCTCCCCTCATTGAAATTAAAAATAAAACTTTGTAACAAATATTCATAATCAAGTGAAACCAAGTTCTGTATTG